GATAAAGCATGTCCCTATAACTGGATTTTAGCCACTTTTGGCAAATTGGATACAAACCATGAAAAAAATTGTATGTATCCCTTTTTTGTTACTCTCTTCCTTCCCTCACTCAAACTTAGTAACCTAAAAATACTCACCTTCTAGACTCACTGATGAAATTCTCAAGGAAAGGGAAGCTACCACACCTTACCACTAAAGAACTTCTCCTATAATATCTAATACCCTTAAATGTTTATGCTTTTCTTAAAACCTACAGCTACAAGTAATATGACTGTCCAGTTTCTGGTCTCCTTATGGATTGATTTAACATGTATTACTTCAATTCATCTGAAAAAAAAAAAAAGGAGTCTTTTATCTTGAGTACCTATCTATTTACCTTAAAGTATCATGAATATTCATGTCACCAGAGAAAATACAAAACTGTTTTTTTCAAACTCTTACAAATTTAGTCCAGAGAGACAGCTTATTTTATTGAAATCTATTTATGGGGGTGTGGGGGAGGGAGTTGGGAGGGTCTGAGGGAAAGAGAGGGGTGAATGCTTCCCTGGAGACTGAGTTCCCGTTGCCTTTTACCAATTCCTCCTCTCAGTTCATGCTTTCACATGTCGTTTACGCTTAAAGCATTCACAAGGGTCAGATTATGAAAAGTTTAACTTAATTTCCTAGATATTACTTTTAACCTGCCACTCCCAGTTCCCAGCAACTACTGCAGTAGTTCTTAAGTAACTTTCATTTTTGCCTAAAACAAATATTGCATCAACTATTTAGTTTTCTCAATTAATAAGGTGTCTTCTGATGGTCTAAAGAATGTTTTCACCAACACAATTTTGTTTTAGATTAAAAAAAAAAAAGGAGAAGAAGAAGAAGAAGGTTCAAATTCCCTGTACCTGAAAAACCCTCGTTAAAAATGAATTTCCAACATGCGATGCCAGAGCAAGGGCAAATGTTCAATTATGACATTTGCTTTAATTCTGTTCTTCGTAGGTCTTTCTCATACACTGATGAAGCATTCCCTTAAAGAAGAAGAAAAAAAAGGACGTAGCAGATGTTGGATGGAAACTAATATAGGTTTTGGTTTTTGTTTTTTGTTTTTTACATGGCTCAGTTGAATAACACCTTGGGAAGAGTACTGATGTTTGTCTGTGTTTAGTATCGGTTTTCTTCTTAGTGTTTCTTAGAAACTTGTAAACTAACTCATTTTGAAATTCTTAACTCATTAGTTTATTTCAAAGAGGTCATCTACTTCTTTCAGCAGCACATGTTTTCTGGGTTTTTCTCCATCTAACCACAATAAAATGGGGTGGAGTAGCAATGTAGGGAGAAGGAAGGGTGTTTAATATAGTGCACCGTAACTTTAAGTACATTTAACCCACTAAATCTTTTTAAATCCATCTAAACTATATTTTTCCTTATATTCTTTTATACACATATATAGCAAAGTTTTCACCTACTACTCACAGAAAGATTCAGGGTATCTATAACCTAGGGAGGTACTTGGAAGACCACCTCACAAATTAGAACAACTCCCGCTCTTAAATTGCAGTATTTATCGCCATCCCAATTTGTTTCATAACAAATAACAAAATTAGAGAGTAGACATTAAAAAATAATACACATTTGTTTTGTCCAATTCATGAAAAAATCAGAAGTAAATTTCCAGGGGAGAAATGCTTTAATATGTTATCTTCTATGAATATAAATATATACCAACTTATTGTGAAGCTAGAAGTGTTGTTTCTCTAGAAAATCAAGCACACCACCCAGAAAACTGCCCTCTTTGTAATCCATCTCAATATGGAGCAGGGTGAGGTTAAAAACAACTGATTAATTTGACAGAAATATATACAACAGCATGATCATCATATTAAGCACCTGCTCAAATTTGACTCTGTCGTAACAGTTAATTACATCTGAAAACTTGAAATTTAAGAAGATATTAGGAACTCAGTTGCAAGTAGACTTAATTATAGCACATGATATAGATTGTGGATTAGAAAATAACTTAAAATGGAGAGACTGCTTTGAGAAAGAAGCAGAATATGATATTTCACTTATACCTTAAGTAAAATTCAACATTAAATAATCAATATAATATTTATGATTTTTTAAAAGTAGTAAATAATGCAGTAAAATCAATGGCTACTTGATTTTACTCAAGTAAACTCATCATGTCAGACAAATACATCATGTCTGATCAGGACTTAGGCCACAGATTCTCAGAGCAGGGAGTAATGATACTTGGGGGAGGGGTGGGGAGAGGGGTGAATCAAAATCTTCATGTCACACACACAGCCAGATTGTATAAATTCCTATGAACAAATACCGAGGTCCACCCCTATCTAGGCTCTACTTCAGTTGAGAAATAGAATTAACCTTGATGATCCCTCACCCATTTGTTGCTGTAAGAAAAAAGTTGAAAATGACCTTATTTAATCCTGACCAAGAAGTAGACATATAAGATTTCAAATACTTTTGTATTTTTCAGACATGCACTTTCTTTTTTCCTTCCTTCCTTTTTTTAAAATCACAGTTAAAATATTTATGCGTGGCTGTACTTTTCTACTATTTTATAATTTAATCATGCGAAGACAGTTATGCTTACTTACAGAATTTAACATTTTTACATTTTTTAAATTAAAAATTATACAGATCAGCAAAAATAAATGTGAATTTATTAAACTTTCAAATGTCCAAAAGCACGCAAGAACCATAAGACAATTGGAGGGTAAGAGAAATATCAACTATAAATAATCAAAGTTTTGTTTTGTTTTGTTTTTAATTATGTGTGTGTTTATCTGAACATGGGGGTGTCTGTGTTACCAAATTCCAGGCTTCAACATTAATTTAAATTATTTGTTTTACAAAATGAAATAACTCTGTCCTGATTTTGTGGTTCAAAATCCAGATTGAATGTCTTTCTTCCCCATGGAGTCAATTTTGACTCTTTTTTAACCGAATTTAATGTACAAACTTATTTTTCCTGGAGCACATCAAAATCTTTCAGGATTGGACATTACGCAAGTGAAATGGATACATTTCTAAATTTTCTTATCCTGTTTGGTTTTGACAGATATAAACTTGCTCTCCTACTCTAGGTAACAAGGGCTAGAGAAAAAAAAATATATATTTTAAGACACTTAAAGTATATATTAATGAAAATGCTACCGCTCTTTAAAGTTAGACTAATTTTATGTGATATTTCAATAGGATAATTCATTAGTCCAGCCCTCTAAATAATCCCAAAGTGACATGAATTCGTCTGCAGAATGAGTGTATATAGGGAGTAATCCATGGAAGACAGACAAGCCTCTTGTCATTTGTAGCCTTAATCCATTGCCTGGAGCATGAAAAGTGCTCAGGATAACAAGTGTGGGAATCAGTAAAATCAACATTATTTTTGCATTTTATTTTCTTAACAATACTGACTGATCAATAGGCTTGCGGAAACTGACAAATACAATAGGGGGTCTGTTTGATGAATCAATCAAGTGAAGTAGAGAGAGAATCCCTCCGCCTCTTCCCCCTTTCTCCCCCCTTTCAATCCTCTTCTTCTTCCTCCACCTACACACACACACACACACACACACACACACACACACACACACACACACGGAAAGTGAGAGAGAAAGATGGGGGAGGGGGATGTTCGTTCTCTATTGGTCTGTAGACATTAAGTCACTGAAGCTATAGTGACAATGCTCAGATCATTTTTTACAAGACTACAAAGCCATTTTCAATGAGTGTTGATGCTTTCAATTGTTAGACGCCCCTTCACCTTTTAGCTGAGAATTTTCTGTATTATTGAAGCAGAGTTCTCTCTTCTTATATTTCAAGTGTGTATGTTGGGTGGGGAGGATATGGAGAGGGGGGAGTGTAGAGCAGAAAGAGTTGGGCAGTAAAGAAAGTTCTGTCCTAGTAACTTTTGTATATCCACCCCCCAAAATAATCCTATAAGAATATTGCCTTTGGGAAAATTGAAAGAAAAATAGAAGAGGAAATTTAAACACCTCAGACAACATGTCTATTTAGGAAAGAACTGATGGTGTTGTGAGGCTGCCTGAATACACGCATGTGTCCACAGGAAATTTAGTAACCCCTTCACCAGCTCATGAAGACACAGAGAGATTCTTTTTATGTTGGTCCTTGCTACTTACCAGGGACTTTTGTGAACTTCGTCATCTTCCTCTGCCCTTTAAACCAAAACTAGGGAAGTGGATTTAATTAATGGGATGTGATGCATTAAAACTGTTAGCCACAGCATTCCAGAAGCTGGAAAACCATAGCTGTTTTTAAATTCTGAGTATCCTTTTGAGAATCCCCTGTTGTAATTTATAATTCTCAGTGGACCTATATTTGTCTTGAACTGATTGTTGAAATGGGCTTTACTAGGAATTTCTTCGCTGAAATTGTAGTGGGGCGGGGAAGGAGGTAGCTGAACCAAGGGGGCTTGTAGGGAGGAGGGGCTGATCTCTAACAAGGCTTTCAAACCTTCAGTGGGTAAAGTTATATTGACGAAAAGGATATGCACATACACCCATATACATATGTATATGGGTGTTATGCATGTCCGTGTATATACACTAGGCACAAGTTCAGCAGAATTACATAATGAGCATGAGTTGTAAATTATGTAGGTAGCAGAATTCAGATTTTTCAAATCAAAATTGCACCTTAAAATGGCTATAAAACAACGCTTGCCTTGGGAAGTAAATTTATAGCTACATGCCTTTCACAGGCACGCTGGAGGGTTCTGCTCCCGGCTCTAATCTCTGTGAGATGTTTTTTGCATGTGTTGTGTGACAGGAGGGAAGGGGAGTGGGTTGAGCTCCCTTGTTCTCCCATTGTCAGCCAGTCCAGTGAGTGTTGGGGAAACCTTTCTGTGGGATCTTGTGTCATCTCTCGCTACATGTGTACAGGAAAAGTCTGCGCTGCTGACGGTCTCTCTCTCTCTCTCTCTCTCTCTCTCTCTCTCTCTCTCTCTCTCCCACTCTCTCCCACTCTCTCTCTCTCTCTCTCTCTGTTTCCTTTTCATTCTGCTTCCCCGGAGCCGAATGAAGCAGGGAGCAGGATTAGAGTCTGCCACCGGCTATAAGAAGAGCCTAGATAAAAGGAACTGCTTCTTAAGCACCACTGCGGTAGCCCTTGTTAATTTTTTTTTTCTTCCACACAACAGTTGTGCCTCATTATCCGGTGGCTGCTTCGATTTTTTTCTCTTTTTTTTTTTTGAGGTTTTGAAGTTTCTGTGCTTCAGTGACTGTTACAGAAGAAGAGGTATTCGTGTTGCGGTGAAGCCTTGATTGTCTGCATTTATGAATGAAACTGACCTAAATCACCTGTTACCTCCAGTTTTCAGATTGTTTGAACTTCTGTGGCCGCACAATACAGGAGGGGAGGCTGAAGCAGCATAGGACCTACAGCGTCTTCAGCATGGGCTGGCACACTAGGATTGTCTGTCTTTTCTGGGGAGTATTACTTACAGCAAGAGCAAGCCATCAAAATGGGAAGAACAATGTGCCAAGGCTGAAATTATCCTACAAAGGTAAATCTTTATTTATTCATTTTTTTCTGATTTGGCTAGCTTTGTAATCCTCCCCCACTCCCTTTTCATTCCTTGAACTCCCTCCGAACCCAAACCTTAAAACCTTTTAGTTTAACCTGGGAAGCCTATATGATCGTCTGTGTCTTTTTGAGACCATTTAAACACTTTTTTAATCAAAGCATGTCTTCTGTTTGATATGACAGTTTAAATGCAAACAAAGAACATTTAATCACATTTGCAGAGGAGCTGAGTGTCTGGTAAATGCTGATCTGTATATGTGATCATATGTTCAGTTATTTTTTTTCTGAGTCTACTTCTATTAAAATATTTTTAAAGCTACTATTGCAAAAATGGTCTCAGTAGATGTGCATGCCTCACCTGTAATAATCATTATGATAAACTGTATTTTCTTAGTTTTAGACACTAAATGGTTAATCATCATCATGAATATTCATTTTGTGCAAATCTGACAATCAGATGCTTAACATAAGCAGTAGATCATGGTTTGCCAAGAGAATATAAACTGCAGAGAACAGACTAGTTTTTCCACAGTGTGTTATGATTGTACAAAAGACTGTGTATTTGGCTAATTGGTGTAAAGCTAAAGCCTTTGAAATATAATGTTATTTAATTCCATATGTACTTCAGTGAGAAATGAATACACATCACTTCCTAGTTGTAGAACTAGTTGTGTGAACTTCTTTTGGAAGAGTCTAAATTTAAGAAAGAAAACGAGCTTTATCACATGGTTGTTAGTATTTTATTGGGTTACAGTTTAATGTGTATGCTTGTTTTTTTAATGAGGATTTCAAAGAAAAGAGTTGTTCTATGTTTGTTTGGGTAGACTTTATAGTTAGATGTATAAAATAATGCTAATGGAGATTCTAAAATAATATATATATATATATGTAACTTTTACTGGAAGAGAATATTTATATAATTGAGGTAGTATTAGAGTGGAGTTGGAGATTAAACTGTTTTAACTCAAGTAGTTTTAATCCCTGAGGTGTTGCTTTCTTATGATTCTCAGATTTCTAGGATTGGGGGTAGGGCGATGAGATCCTTCCATTATATTTTGTTTATAGCCCATAATGTGAAATAAATTTACTGACTCTATCCATTGGAGAGCTCTGTCTAGTGTACATTGTTCTTATGCCAGAAAATATATACTTTAATTTTCACATGATGGAAGATCGCTTTCTGAATGCTCTAGTGTAAATGAGGACCACAAACAGGAAAGACAGATGTAATCTTCACACTTTAGATCAGAAAATTAAACACCTATTAAATGTGTTTATTTGGATTTAATATCTGTTAGATAAAATTCATTGAATTGGAAAATATATTTATTTTTTGGTATAATATTTTCTTGATTATTAAAATGGGAATGAATTTTAAACATGAGCAGAGTTACTCAGCCAAGATGTTAAAGAAAAACATATAGAATCCATTAGATATTTAATTAGATCTCTATTATATCTTTAGTAACTATCTTTAAATTATTTTCATAGTATATGACATTATGGCATCTGTGCTTTCGTTAGTTTTTTGCTTTCTATTTTCATTCTTTGAGAGGATGTCACCAAATAAGTCTTAGGATGATGGTCCACTTTATGCAAGTTTATATTCCTTATAAGTTTTACATACAACTTTACTTCTGAAAGATGTGAAAGGCTATAGGCTGTCATTTTATAATAACAAGTTTGAAACATGAAATGCATTTTTAAAATCTACTAGATTTGCATATATTTATCTAAGTGCTAAATACATTGTGGAATAAACAAGAATTGAGAATTATGCTTATTTATTTTGCAAGAATTTTATGTCCCTCATAAGAGATTTCTCTCCATTATAGAGGAGGCACCGCTACTTTCTGCAAATTGAAAAGATAGTATTTAATTACAACAGAATAGCCCTTTGTTATGTATACATACTTTAAACTTGTCTGATGAAGTAAGCTGTATGTATTCACAAGGTGTATATATATATATGTGACACTATCTTATGAGCTCTTTTCAGCAATGGCATCTGTTAGATTAGTTTTGCTTTCTTTTAAATCAAAAACTGCTCTACAGCTACCTAACAATTCCATTGATATACCTAGAGCTTGGCAATTTGGTAAAATAAACTGTGAAATGAACAACAGCAAGAAGAAAAGAAGGAATGGCCTAAGCAATTTTTCTTCTGTCATTTTATTGGTCTGTCATTACCTTTTTTGTCTCTCCATGAACACTTATTTTGCCAAAGCAAATGCCTGGTAGCCAATTGTCAATACTTTGTTTCTAAACTAAAATAGACATTCTTTTTTAGTTGCTTCTTTTTCCTCCTTAATTAGATGTCAAACACAGTTAAAACATCCACTGCGTTGCCCTTAAAAATATTCCAGCATGATTCATGAAGAGTTAAATCCCTGCCAACCCTAATTTCCCATGGTCACTTGTTTTCAAAGATCCACCATTAACTCCCTCATTGCTCAGGTTGCCAAGACAAAGTTTCGGGCAATCACCATGCTTACTTTGCTTGTCATCTCGCCTGGTAGGAGATGAAAAAATTTGTAATATGTTAAATGAAAATGAAAAAGGAGGAAGAACAAGAAGGCAGCCTCTCTAGTGGATGTACAAGCATATCTAATAAGGTACCTCTTTACTTTCTAGGAAAAAGGAATTGAATAGATGTTCGAGGGCCATCTGGAGAAGTGATAATATTAGAAAAAAAATGGGGTATGCTGGCTTTTCCTCTGAACCATCTGATTTAGAATCCTTGTGGGGGAAGCAAATGTGAGAACTCTGTAAATCTCAGCAGTCACATACAAATTACCCTCCAGAAACATTCACTCTGAGATACTTGTGCCTTCCTTAAATATATACAATGTAGCTAAATGTTGAACTGCTTCTTTTTAAAAAGTATGCATAACAGTTTATTTCCCCTTCAAAACTAGTCAAATTTCACTTTTCTCATGAAATACCAGAATATCATGTAATCTTCCCTTTGGAATGTGTGGTACAATGAAGACTTCAGAAAAAGCTATGGAAATCACAAGGAAATAAATTAGGTTTGGGGTTTTAAACAAATGACAAATGTTCCATCACTCAGTGTAATGAGCTTTTCCAGGACATTCTGTGCTTCAGTTTTAGGAGAAATTAAAGACACATGCAAGTCTGAATGTGATGGTGATCATGTGAATCCAAAGGTTATATGAACTCCTTCAACTTTACCTGCACGGTGAGGACTTACTAAATAGCACTTAAGTAAATGGTAGACATTGCAAAGGCTTTCCTTTCATACTTTGTAAAGCTTCCCCCCACTCCCCCCAGATTCAAGTAGTTTGTTTATTTTAAGAATAAAATTATCAGTTCAACTGAGATTGTCATCACATCTTTCTGATACTATTGAATTAAAAACTATGCAGTAAAGCTGGCGGAAGCTTTTTTTATTTGCCATTGCTCAATGCATTGTGATCCCTTTAAAATTCTATTAACAGGAGTGGTGACTTACTTTATTATTTATTAAACTTGTTGAATTTTCAAAGATTTTCTTTACTTCTACCAAAGCACAAACACATTCACATGTCTGTACACATATATATGAATATATAAATGACAGAACCTTTATATTAATACTGTATAGTTGAGAAAAATAATCCTGGAAATCGATAGATTCTGAAGTATAATAAATGCTTTACAAATAAAATTGTTATTGATTAGAAATGGCATTCATATTTTAAATTTTACATACATACATACACACACACACACACACACACACACATATATATATATATATATATATATATATATATATATATATATATATATGTATTCTTTTGAGTCCCATGGGAAGTTATCATGGATCTTAAGTATTTACATAATGGTATAGAATGAAATCTGTCTTTTACTAAAAATCTCCTCACCATTAAACAGTTAAAATGAAATGTGTAGGGGGAAGCAAAGAAGTTACACATTCTTTGCACTGTCTTTTGTTCAGTAGTTACTGCATATTTGGCATCAGGTCTCTGATTTGCTGATTCATATATAACGTGGCCTTTTCTTCTCAAATTCTATTAATTTTAAAAATCACATTTTGATTCTGAAATCTTCAATGTAAGCACACTGAAAACTAGAAATTTTTATTCATCTAGTCAACAAGCTTATCCTGTCAAAATAATAAAACATTAAATTAAATAAATCCTAAGCCACACATCTTGTGATCTAGTGCTGGTCAGACCAAATGAGGGATAGGGAAAGTCTCCAATTTGTGGCTTCTTTGTTTAAAGCTGCCAACCAGGTTGGCCTTTCAAATAATAATTAATACAGTATAGACTTTAGCAAGTAAGAAAATAACTTACACCACAAACCATCCTGTGTAAGCCTTTAACCTACCAACTTCTGATAATGATATTCAGTAATATACTAGTTTAAATAAACCTGAACNTAACTTTTACTGGAAGAGAATATTTATATAATTGAGGTAGTATTAGAGTGGAGTTGGAGATTAAACTGTTTTAACTCAAGTAGTTTTAATCCCTGAGGTGTTGCTTTCTTATGATTCTCAGATTTCTAGGATTGGGGGTAGGGCGATGAGATCCTTCCATTATATTTTGTTTATAGCCCATAATGTGAAATAAATTTACTGACTCTATCCATTGGAGAGCTCTGTCTAGTGTACATTGTTCTTATGCCAGAAAATATATACTTTAATTTTCACATGATGGAAGATCGCTTTCTGAATGCTCTAGTGTAAATGAGGACCACAAACAGGAAAGACAGATGTAATCTTCACACTTTAGATCAGAAAATTAAACACCTATTAAATGTGTTTATTTGGATTTAATATCTGTTAGATAAAATTCATTGAATTGGAAAATATATTTATTTTTTGGTATAATATTTTCTTGATTATTAAAATGGGAATGAATTTTAAACATGAGCAGAGTTACTCAGCCAAGATGTTAAAGAAAAACATATAGAATCCATTAGATATTTAATTAGATCTCTATTATA